CAAAGTAGAACTGTACTCCTAGCAGACTCCTGAAACAAAAACGTTTCCCTTGATGTGATAAAATTCCTTTTTAACTTTACATCACTCTGCTTGTTTCTTTCGTTTTTTACTTGTTGTTCTTTTTTCTGTTGTTATTATTCTCACATTTGTTCAACTTCAACCAACATGTAATGAGCTAGCTCGATTTGTTGGGAAAATAAAAAAGTTTAGATTAAATCATTTAAAACTCCAAAATTTTCGGGCTGTTTTTTCAATGGAAAATCGTTTATAAATCCAGATGTTTATAAATAACGATTTATAAATCGGTTTAAAATCATTTATAAATCGTAGATCTTTGAAAACATCATTTTGTATTCATCAATGGGATCAAGAGAGCGTTGATCTAATTATATGAATTCTCTACATGACTAGTCTCTGGGTAGTGACAAAGTTTAAGCTTCTTTTATTCAAACTTCTGAGAAAATGTATTATTCAAGATTTTACAGCTTCAAAAAAACAACTACTACGTGACATGGCTACCAGGTGGACATGACTAGATTTGTACTGCCAAGCTTTATCAGATGATTTACGATAGGGTGAAATTTAGTGTATTTTTCATAGGGGCGTGACGCACTCTAAAAAAAATTGTGTCGTATTATGTGCGGATGTGTCGCAAACCGCTCTTCCTGTCGCAAAAAAAATAATGTGTCGCAGAGTCAACAAAACAAAAGAGTAAAAACTTATTGGGTAGGGTCGGGTTCGGGTTACGTTTTCTTAACCCGTGCAGATCTCTACTGTTAGCTATCTTTTAGTTACTTTTAATAAAGACTACGTTTAGTTTTAGCTGTGATATGCGAGATTCAATCTTATGTGATAGAAAAAGATCAAAGTGCCTGTAACAAAATTATTTTGATTTATTTGCATAAAAAATTAAACCATTAATTCATTTATACATTTCGAGGGAGTTAGTCTTCAGCTTCAAATTATCCCTAAGGAAACGACTGAGAACTCATTCTATTTTCAAATTCAAAAAAAATCGGTTCAGTAGAAAAAAAGTTATTGCATTTTTACTTTTCGAATATCAACGGTACAATTCCAGCACAAATCACACATATAAGCGCGTATCGTATAACGATCATTTTTTTCCCTTTTTTTTTGATATGGATGAGTAGCGATAATGCATATTAAGGTATAGAATAAGCTGTACACGATACTTGTAGCTTTATTTGATCCTTGCTACCGTCTCATGTCTGGCAAAATGCTTCATGGATGTGTTAGTTTGATAAAAGGTTTTTATTTGATTATTTTCGTTATATGTAGTGCCATTATTGCTGGTCCTATTTTATGTGCTACTCACTTTACGATTAAAATCAACACGGGTTCAGCGTCTGTATCCGGCTATCACCTCAATAGTGGTTTTACCTCATGTGGAATTTTGATTAGTCTTACAGCTGGTCTAGTAGACGTAGTTATTTATAGTATGAGTTTTCATTCATCACTACAGGCCGCTATCTCATATGCAAATAATCAACCGGTGGGTGCGCAAGAATTTTATAATCGAACCAACGCTGATATAGCTGAATATCATAAAGAACTCGTGCGTCTTGTAGCTTTGGAAAAAAATCTTTTAAATCCGTTGAGTGACGTAGCTCTACTTTCATATGAAGTACAAGATAGTGTTAAAGATATTCATGACTTATTTAAACTATTCATGGAACACAATGATAGTGCCGATATGGATTCAAAATTAAAACAATCGGCTGGAATAAAATTAAATAACTTTCTCGAAAAACAAAAAAAAAATAAAGAAGAAGTTGATGCAATAAAACAGGATATAGATTCGTTGAATAATGAACTGAAGAGTGCCAATGATCGTTTATCTGTGACAAATTCAAACACAAGGAAAATTAAACAACCACTACCAATGAAAACTTCCGCATTTTATTTTATTGATGCATCGACTAGTAATTTACGTCAACTCAGTCAATGTCACTTATTTGTGTTAACAGTATCTTTTATGATATTTATTCATCTGACAGGTATGTCGATACTTCAATATCTCGGACTTAAAGATACGAAATGGATTCCATCATTGATGATGATGGCTTTACTTATTATCGGACAATCAATGGCACTACTTTTCTATACACAAATTACTCATGCTTTTAAACCTATGTCGCCCCTTTATTTGTATGCAATAGTATTCATCTCGCGATCTATCATGGGTATAAAACATTATATGGAGCATGTAAATTAAGTCATTAATTTTTGGTTCATCACTTTATGTTTTATATTCTGTTCATTAACTGTCATATGTCAGTGTTCCGTAAAACGGAGAACGTAAGTAGGATATTAAATTAGAAGTGACAATGAAACAATTAACAAGCCGAACGATATACTCATGATATCTGTTGTCATTGTTATGTTAAAATGATGGTATTCATAAACTGTCTAGTTCGACAGTATTCGCATCTAGACTTAATTGTACGTATGAATAAAAAATTCGGTGTTAAGAAACTGTTCGTACCACCGTATTCTTTCCTAATCTATTAATCTCCTTTTCTTAATTGTCTAAATCAGTGGTTTATATTTATCCATTATTATAAATGAACAGTACAACTAAAGTAAACATCCCTAACTATGAATATTTTAGTTTTACATGGAGAAAAGATGAATTTTGAAAAAATTGGCACCGCTAAACTTTCTGTGATCTGAGGAAGAAAATAAACATTGCCACGATGACCACCTCATTTGGTTGTCGATACAATATGTACTTTTAAAATTGCTGGACATGTCTAGTACGTGATAGGGTGGTCGTCGGAGAATGTCCATAGCTCTGGACCGTAAGAACTAGAGATTTGGAACTTGTGTAGAATTGTAGAAGATGATGAGAAGGATCGAATCCATTAATCTGCATTTGAAAACCATCTCTTTTTGGTGTCTCCGTAGCCTTATCTTTCAAAGATCAATGTGTAACACCATCTGCAGACGGTGTCCAGGTCTGGAATCTTTCTTATCCTTATGTCTTAAAGTCTTGACTACTGAAAAGCGCAGGTCTTCATCTCTTTTCTAACAAAATTTATTCCAAAATTAACCGAGGGAGTTGTATTTTGGAACCGATCGCAGTCTGCATGGAGGAAAACGAGACATCCATTCAAATACATGGAGTTGTCAGAGACAAACCTCTACTGTGTCTCAGAAGCAGATTTTGATACTATGCCAAATGACAGAGTTGTTCAGAATGCTGAACTCTACCACATATGTATACATCGCCTAGAAACTAATTAGAAATAATCACTATTCTATATCCAAGACTTTTCTTCGCTTTTTAAATGTCAGACGTTGGCAGTCTAATTGCTTCAGCTCCCAGATACATCGATTGTTGGAGAAAACATTGAGCTTATTAGATTCTTCTAATTTTCTTTTACCAGTCAGAAAACTTTTGAGAAAAAAAGAATGAGATTTGACCAACATATCGATCAAATACGTTGGGAGACTACATGGTTTCTCGAAAAATCATGTCAATTTAACGCACAAAACTTTCTTTTGAAGGACAGTCTTATGAAACAGACTTTCTTCTTCAAGAAGAAAGATCAAACGATCTGAGATTTGGATGTATCAAGAAGATACTGGGCAATGTCATCCAGTCAGTGCATTTCAAAGGCAGAAACGAAGATCTAGAACTGTTTTCGTGATAACTTGCAAAACAAGAGTCAGTGGAAGTAGCGTAACCTATCATCTTGAAGAAGAAAGTCTGTTTCATAAGACTGTCCTTCGAAAGAAAGTTTTTGTCTTAAATTGACGTGGTTTTTCGAGAAACCGTGTAGTCGCCCAACGTATTTGATCCATATGTTGAACAGCAAGTTTATCAGATCAAAAATGACTGAGAACTTATAAAAGTACGACAAAAAATTGAAAATGTGCCTCTGTCAGAGACCGAAACGGGTCAACCAAACCCCCGAACCCGACCCGAACGGACCCAAAAAATTTTGCAATTGTGATCCGAACTAGACCCGAAACGTGAAAATGTTTTCGTACACATTCGCAAAGAAACACTATAGAAAAGTTACCTTAGTCAGATTGTTTTGAACTTTTTTCAAAAAAATGGGCAGATTCCTTACGATTTCCGTCATTTTTTCCTTTTATTGGTGGAAAAGTTTGGGTAATTCATGCAGTTAATTTTATATTGACCTGAATTAGATCGAAACGGGTCAACCAAACGCGACCCGAACGTGAGTTGACCCGACATGAATCAATATCTTTTATGTTGACCCGAACCCGACCCGACCGGATGCAACCTGACCCGATCCATGGGCCAACTCGACCCGTTTCGTTCTCTGGTCTCTATTTCCTCCATAGTACTCTACTTTTCTTTTACAGTTTATTCTATTCTGATACTATTTAGACTCTCCTGTAAGAGAAATTTTCTGTTTTTCTGTTTAAAGAATAAAATAAGAAAAGAAAAATTTTTATATTTTGATCAAATTTTTATCTTTTATATATGCAAGGGAGTGCACACTGTAACTACTTATTTCGTATTGTATCAAACTTCGCGGATTCAAATTACGTTTATTAGAGAAGACCCATTTCTATTTTTTGTACTAATTTAAAGTACACGTGTTGTACACGATACTGACCTGTTTTTTAGAAAAGGATCCCTTTTAGTTTTTGAGATATATGGCTATACATATTGCTGATTATCTTTTAAAAAACCAAGTTTTTGTAATGATAAGACAAAGGGGAATATTTCAAAATATAATTTAATAGAAATATAATAACTATTTACGAGGAAACCTTCTCAAATGCCGGACGCCTTCCGAGCTGATATTTTGCCCACAAGTAGACCTTGGGAAGTATGTGAAACTCCAAAAAGGACTTGTCCCCACAGGATACTTTGCTGACTGTCGATCCATATATAAAGCTCTTCAGGAAAAGATTCTGTCCTCCGTATAAAAAGTCGATTTTGCGCTAATGCATTAATCGACTTAGTGAATGCAGTTGTTCTGAAACAAGTCTTTCAACTGGAAATTCCAGTAGAGATAACTTTCAGCCAGTAATACAAAGCAAAAAATATTATTTATATTTTAAATTGCGTCGCCAAATATTCAATCCGAACCCGACCCCACAGGCCTTTCTTTCTGAATTATGATCTTTCTGCTGTTTAACCTGTGACAATGTATTTTTAAAAAAATCGAACGAACGACTTTCGATCTGAAATTTTGTCAATAAATAGGTCTAATGACCCTTAGAATGCCTTAAAAGTTTTAGTCAAACTAAAGCTTCCTGAAGATACTGAAATTTCAAGAAAAATCGATTTTTCGAAATTTTTTCTAATATATAGACGTTTTCTTAAAATCTATTAAGCCGTGAAGAAAGCGTCAGTTTTTACTAAAACTTTCGAGGGATTCTAAGAGTCATTAGACCTATTTATTAACAAAATTTCAGATTGAATATCGTTCATTCGATTTTTCTGAAAATACTTTGCTAGTTGGCAGAATACGAAATAATTTTACAGTGAGCACTCTCTTGGAATAAATGCCTTTTGGGCACGGAAATTAGCACGCCTACTGGGCATCCAGGCGGACATTTAGCCAAAAATCGAAAGTGTGATTTTTCAAGATTCATATATTATACAATATACTTTGATGAACGGGCTATCTAGTGGTGTAAATTTTTTTATTCTAAGTACTCAATTTGACACCAAACTTTAAATGTGAAAAACACCCTGTATAGTAGCACTATCAGAGAAAAGCCGCTTTTTCCATCGAAATTACTGTAGCTATATTTGCAAATTTTACATAATTTGAATCTAGAGACTTCGAGCTTTTTATTACTGGGAAAATATTTTGCTTCGACTTAGAAGTGTACAAGAAAAAATAACTTTTCCAAAATAAATCGCCCTTAAAACATCTCTAGCGTGTAGTGAAAACGTCAGAAAGTCCTCAGATCTGATTTAATGAAAAACTATACTAAAATGTGCCTAGTCATGAGCTGTATTTATTCTGAATACGGTTTGAGGCTCAGGATCTCTAAAAAGCCTTCGGTTTTTGAAATAAAATCTCATTTTCTCACTTCAGAAGTATTTTTATTGAACACTAATGTGATGTTTGGAATGTGCACATAAAATTGCATCGAATGATTCATAATTTGTTAGTTTTACGAACAAAAGTCTTTTTAATAAAAATTCAGGGCAAGGATTCCCTCAGGGATTTTTCATCGAAAAATAATTTTTTTCGAATTTGACTTGTCTCACGTTTCTTAATATTTGACACATAATAAGACAATACTATGCGGAAATAATCATTCTTTAACTCAAAAAACCAGATGTCCACCTGCTTTATGGAAAAATGCTCACTGTGGTTCGCTGATTTTCGTGCCTAAAAAAATCTTTTGACTGATTTAGGCACAGTAATTAGCCGAAATAGGCACGGTTTCAATTAAACAGAAAAACTGATTAAGAAAGGGCGCGGATTTTCTATTTCGGGAACACAGCAATTCATTCGCTTTTTACCTGTGTGCGTTCTCACATCTTCACGCCAGAAACTGTTATGAAATATTTTTGAATGCATTTGTTGTCTCTGAAATGTAGAAACAAGAGAAACGAAGTTATACTTAGCACGCCAGAAGTGTTTTTGCTTTCTTTGGGCGTCCTTGTTGTCGTTTTCTTAAGTTCTGTGACCGTGAAGGATCTGTCACCGTGCAATAACCAAAATGCATCATGAGTGTCCATGTCTAAAAAAATCTTCATCTTTCGTGCTCATTTCGGTTAATTACCGTGCCTAAATCAGTCAAAAGATTTTTTGGGCACAGAAATCAGCGAACAGACTTTATCCGAGCCCAAACAAATCTTCGTCCTTTTGAAACATAGTGGTTACCTGTGTTTGAAGCAGTAACAAAATCAATTAGAGAAGAAAATGAAGTTCCTGCATTTATACATTTATATAAAAATTATTATAAAATGAAATATTGTGTAACAGCAAAATACAGAAATAGTCGCGGAATAGAGGAATATCGACTGGCCGACCGGAATATATTTTGAAACGCTCCCTAAAATCTATGTATTTCTTTTGGAATATTAACTTAGAACGCAACTAGTTTCTTCTAATTTTTTTCCGGCAACTTTTTTGAAAATGTTTCTGTTCTGTAGTTCCGCTGGAGAGCGGTGAGAGCATTTCAAACACTGCTTTAAGGGCCCCCCCCTCAGAAATTATGATTTTCTGTCAAAAAATTAGCTTTGAGATAAGCACAAGGAAAGAT